TTTAATAGTGTTTTAAAAGTGTAAACTGGTTATTTAGTGCATTTTTGACGTGGTAATTGCTCATAGAAAACAACGAAATTTAAGAAAAGTTTTTTATTTATAACTTTTAAATGGTTAATAATATTAACCCTCCTCTCCAGATTGTTAATAGGGGGGCCGAAACGCGTCGTTTGGTACCCCTCCCGACTTTTCCGGACCTTTTTTAGGGGTTGTTACCCTACATTAGAGAATTACCAAAACTTGCAACCTCCCTTAAAAATTTTGCTCCCTATATTTACCATAGTTTTCAAATTTTTTGTAAGTTTTGTCGTACGAAAAAATGATCATTTGTAATAATTGTTACGAACTATCATAAACTCGTATGGGCGTAATAGGAAAAATACACCACACAGTATGTCAGCGCACTTTCACTTTCACTTCGATGTGCAGACTGTCTCAGCGTGCATTTTGCCGTGTTATGTTTGCACAAACCGTCTCGCATGCAGTCTGTGTAAAATCGGAAAATTTTGATTTTGGTAGCCGATACGCATAGCGAGTGTGTCGTATACGGTAAAATTTCGTCTTACAAAATGGAGCAAGAAAAATTTTTTAACACGGTAAATTTTTTTTATTATCTGTACCAAGGTGTATTAAACAAGGTGGTGTTGGGGCGACAGCTGAGTTTTTCGCCGCGGAGGCCATTACGTCAAAATGATGTGTTTGTTGTAATTCATACCAATGACAGTATGGACATCAGCGTATAATTTGTTAGTGTAATTTTTTACTTATATACGGCCAACACCACCTTGTTAAATACGCCTTGATCTGTACGGTGTATGGCGAGGCGAATTTAAACAAGGTGGTGTTGATGGCGAATTTAGATTTTCGGCGCGGTACTTCTTAATGTCAAAATTATGTGTTTGTTGCCTTGCTTACAATAAAGGGCGTGTGTGAATCGGTAGCAAAGTTCTATGGGGAAAGCTGTTGAATAATATTTTTACTATGGTGAGACAGTTTTGCCAATCTGCTGTGTGAAATGAAATCTTTTTTGACAGCAGTAAATTTTTCATAACCGCAGATTTATGCGCAATAAACTATTACAAATTGAGTGAAACTAATATTTTAAGAAAACATCTACCATCATTCATTGCAGTTCATCAACTTAACCTTTTATTTTACGAAAAATTACACACAGCAGCAATCTTTGCAATTGTCAAAATTTTCTATGCATTTGTCAAAAATTTCACTAGCCCTATGGGCTACTGAAATTTTATTCACCTCAAACTTGTCAAAAATTTACTTGCCGCGAACTTTGTTACCGATTCACACACGCTCAAACACACAACTTTGACTTTGTATAAATTCGCCTTGGTATATGGTAAAATGTGTTGTATGCTCGTTACAAGGCGAATTTATATAAGGTGGTGTTACTAGCTCAGCTGATTTTGTGTATGTGTTTCTCCGCACGGCTTCTGATATCAAATTGAAAAATTTTGTTTGAATTTCTACACACACTCTTACAGATTTTGACAGTTTATGCCGCCAAAGCAAAACCAAAATACATGTAAATTTTTGTTTTTGTACTCCTGCTATCACCTTATATTAATTCGCCTTGGCTCGTTATGCGCAGACCTACTGTGTAGTGTATTTGGCCTATTCAATCAAGTAGTGGTGGGTAACGCAGCCAGCATTCGTGCGCTGATATCATGAAACCAGCGTCATGCTATCTTCTTTTGGCGCCGCTCAACACTAATTTTATTTCAGCTCAGCTGAATCAGCTGTAGCTGCAAAACAAGCTAATTTTTCTTCCATTTCTTTTAGTTTTCGAGTGGCGTGGTGTTCTTGTGAGTGAATTTTCCGAAAAAATAAAACTAGTGCAGCTTCAGCGTCTTTTGTTCTACCGGTGTAATTTTTAAGTACGTTCGTACTTATCGTTGCAATTACAATTGGTGTCAGCATATTAGTGTAAGGTGCAGCAAAATATTGCGATATTTGGTAAGTTCCTGGCATTGTAGTTATATGTGTACACATACATATCGTCGCCTGGGTAAAAGATTGTCGTATGTTAATTGCGGAGGTTGTGGGAAATCGCCATTGAAGTTTGGAATGCAATTTCTCAAAAACGCGAAAATAGATTTACTCCAAAGTCTCTGAAATAGTTACTAGTTCACAAAATTCTTAAATTATTTAATGTTTATTGTTAATAAGTTTTGAGTTTATGCAGGATTTTCTTTAGTAAATTTTTGTCGTAAGCTTCATTTGTCCACAATTTGGCAGCCCCTTTGTATGAAATACGACTAACCCCTCTATTCTAACAGTGTCACAAAACGTAGCTCATCACTGTTGTGATTTCAAGTGCGCCGAGAAATGTGTCACAAAAATTCGATTTTGAGTGTAGAAAAACACACAAAAATTAAAAAAACTGAATTGAAGCGGCAAGCTTTGAGGCGCGGTAGAAATCACAGCAGTGATGAGCTGAAGTTTGTGACTTTGTTAGAATACGGCTGTAAATGTAATCAAAATTTCTACTAAATTAACAACACTTTTTACTCAATATGTCGGAAACTAAAGGAGATATACAAAAATGAAGAATGCCATTTTTAAGATTTTGATTAGTTTAATATGACTGCATCACTAACAAAATTTTTACTAAATTATCGAAAAAATTGTAGTCAATGGCCCGTAGTCATAGTCAAAATAAAGTCGACTTTAAAGTTAGTTGCAGCTTTTTTGACAGATATCTCATTGAAAATTATGTCAAAAAGCTGCAACTAACTTTAAAGTCGACTTTATTTTGACTATGACTACGGGCCAATATCTCGGAAACTAAACGAGATATCTAAAAACTGATAACATCATCAATCGAAAGATCTGATTTCCAAACATGATGCAATAATACAAGGTGTTGTCGGTTGGCAGCTTCTCGCTCTAATTCCGCCATATTGACTGCCTTAGGTGAAACAGTGTTACTTCTTTAACAATTGTTTGCCTAATAATATAGTTGAATGTTTTTTATTTTTTCTCAGTATATAAATTTTGTTTTCTCAAAAAGGTATTTTATCTTATTTTATTTCATTTCATTACGAATATACTATAAAAAAGCAAATTTTGTTTAGAAGAAAACATGAAATTTTATATTTTTCCTCAAATGGCTATTAATTTCTTCCCGTTTTTCTTCTTATTCTACTACTAGCAGACCCGGCGAACTTCGTCCCGCCCAAAATTTTTATATAATTCATTGAAACTTTTTGGTCCAACATTTTCACCAACAATTCACGTTTACGATTTTCATTGGCACATTTGTCTGCTAAGATTAAGGTTTGGTGGTAATTTGCCGCTTTAAATAACCTCAGGAAAGTGTTATATCCGTTCTTGAAATTCTCCAGTTGTGCGGCATTTCATAGCACGGTTATTCGCAAAGCGAAATAAATTTTTTCGTCTTCACTCCCTGGCGGCAACAATGACCCGGTTCTATAGTGAATGTCCTAAAAACTTTATAGTATAGTTGGTGGCAATTTCAAAATGGGTGCGAATCATTGTTCTACAGAAATGCAATATACATATACTTATTTCAGACGAAATACCTTAAAAGTTTGAACGCATAATAATATTGGAAAATCACATCCATTAGGCCAATTGCAGGAGCGTTCGATATACTCAATGGTGCAACAGGTCGATTTAATCTGACCTTCACGGCCCCTTTTCTCACTTGGCTATTTTTAGTAATAGCTCGACTTCAGCACCACTTGGCAGCACGTTTTTGCAATAGTATTGCATACATATTTAAAACATTAGCCAAATCGGATCATAAATAAGATTTTTAGTAATAACTCAACTACAGCGCCAACTGTCGGATTAAATTGTGAAACTAAACCATCCAGAGACCCACTCAAATACACAAAAAGTTTCGTTAAAATCCGTACAACCATTTAGGAGGATTTAACTCACAAACACACCTACAGAAGAATAAAAAAATTCATTCAAAGATAGCTAAAGGTCGGTACGTTTGTAGGCGATATGTAGCATGAGAAATTCGGTTTGTATGGGAAGTGCCACGGCCCCTTTATGTATAGATTTTTTTCAGCCTAAAACCATCCTTGGGACACGTGCGGCAGGTGGCAGTTTCAAAAAAATCAGTTCAGCCGCTCTCGAGCCTTGCGAAAACTAACAAACGGCTTTCTAAATATATATTAGTTGAGATATATTATAATTATATTTTGACAGTATCCGTTGTTTCTGATTGGCGCAAAAAAATCTTGCCTAGTGACGAATTCGCCCCTTGATATGGTCGTTACTTAAAGCTATTTATATTCGAAATTGCATGAAAATTGGAAAACAGGAATCTGTAAGCTTATCCAGGCAAAAAGCTACCTACGTACCGAATTTTAAGCAAATCGGACCGTAAATACGATTTTTTCGAATAGATCAGTCCCTGGCCCACTTCTCGGAAAAATGGACCACATATCCTAATATATGCTAAAAAACTACTTACGTACCGAATTTTAAGCAAATCGGACCATAAATGCGATTTTTTGGAATAGATCGGTCCCTGGTCCACTTCTCGGAAAAAATTGATCATATGTATATGCTAATATATGCTAAAAAGCTACTTACGTACTAAATTTTATGCAAATCGGACTATAATAAGATTTTTTCGAATAGACCGGTCCCTGGTCCACCTACCCGAAAAAAGGAAAATTTTTTTAGTCTAAAACATGGTGGTTACCGAAAGCTATTTGTATACAAAATTTCATGAAAATCGGACCAGCCGTTCGCGAGATTACCTGTTACAAAAAAAAGGGACTTCTCTTTATATAATTAGTATAGAAGTATAGATAGTAAAAATCGTCAAAACTGCGCTTACGACAGTCTTTTAGCCAGGGGACGATATGTATGTAGTTGTGTGGCTCTTTGTTGTTTAATTGTTAAAAGGTACATTTAGAAATTCCCTGTGGGGAAAATCTCTAGTTTTGAACTGGGGCGCTTCTAGTACATTTAGTACCACTACTAGTTCGCGATAAATCTCTTTTGCATGCAAACAACTGGCGAATTTAACACAGCGATGTCATAGGAATTGGAAATTGTCACCCGCTGCATTACCTTTTCCATAGTTCAGAACCACTCCTAAATTCGACATATGGGATCTAGTTCGCTTTGCACCCCATTTTCTATAGTTTCGAACCAGTTGTAAACGAAAAAAGTAACAAGATGTTTTCTTTTTGGATTACCATGGTAGCAAATTTCAATTTTTTGCAGAGAAATGTATTTTCAATCTGAAACCAAATTTGTTTGAATGAATGTAAATTTAATTTTGCATTTGAAAACACGTTTACATACCTTTGGCTGTAGCTGAATTTGCAGAGGTGCTGACTGTTATTGGTTATATTCCAGAAGGTCCCATAATGTTAAGATGTTAACACAAATATTAGTTTTGTATTACCAAACTATGAAAAAGCGTCTGCGACGTGCATACTGAAAGCGTATTTGAAAGAAAACCCCGCCAAGCAAAAATCTATTTAAAGTAAACAAGCCCCCCGCTGCATCCCTTTTTCAGTAGTCTCCAACTAGTTCAAAATTCGCCAGATGAGATCTAGTTCGTTCTGCATCCCTTTTTCTATAGTTTTGAACCAGTTCTAAATTCGTCATTTTAGATATAGATTTCTAAAATTGTTTTTTAAAAGTACCACATATCGCCGCTTTTGAACTGGTGGCGATCTAGTTACTATCGGACTGGTTCGTTTTTGGCGATAGAGATCTAGTACGGAACTACAAATTTGGTTCACCAGTTCGGGGTTTCCCTACAGGGTTGTGGTGGCGGAAACTTTCCTGTATATGTGTATATACATATATGTATGTGCGATGGTTAAAGACGCACAGGTGGAGGGGGCTTGATACGTTTAACGGCGCTTTTTACTGAGATTATAAACCCCCATTTACAAAACTTCTACTACTGATTTCCTAGGTCGCCAGGCACACCTTAAAAAAAAAATCAGATTTTGTAGTATACGTGTACGTTAAAAATGGACAAACAGTAAAGAAAAATCGACGACCAATCGATTGCAATACAAAATTCTTAATGTTTATACCAATGAGGTGCTAACTTAGGGTTTACACCGGATAATACTGTCATGACAACAATGTCAAAATGATTTTTTATTTTATTTTTTTTAACAAAGCGAATTCATATTACAACAAACACATCATTTTGACATTTTTGTCCGGTGTAAACCCTAAGGCTGCGTTTCTTTATACATACATTCCGGATAATCCCATTTCACAGCCGAAATAAACAGAATGGGATGAGGCGTTAACATATCATCAGGAATGTTCTAAAAAATAAGTAAACAAAAAAGTTTATTCCAAACCTTCAGAATTTATTCCAAACATTCAGAATGAATAAAGAAAGAATTATGAGCTATGCAAGCGTGTCGAAATTTTCGTTGAGTATCGAATTTTCTGTCGAACAGAATTTTGCTTTCGTTGGTGTAGCGAAGTGTTAGAAAATTGTGAAAAACGTATGAATTTGCATTTGTTTTCTTACTTTTTAGAGGCTAGACACTAATTTGGAACATTTTTTTTATTAATTTCATGCCGTTCTAAACACAAGCTGGATCGGCTGGTTTTACTTGTGAAAGAAAATCCCAATACTCTGTTGGCTGTTTATAGTTTTAATATATTTTAAATAGATTTGGATCACAAAATTTCTTAGATTTATTGTATGTCAAAATATATTCGAAAGACTACACTTAAACTCTCTTAAACGTTTTCTGCTCCTGGCCAGTTTTCTAAGTACTCATTTTTACCACGTTTTTATAAACTCGCTTTCTTTTTTATTTCGTTTTTATTTGCACAAATTTGTAAACAAAGCTTCTCAGATGTGAAAAATATACTATTGTGAAGAACCTAAACGAGCGAAATTCACAAGAGTGCTATTCTTCGTCGAAAGAGCGCCATAATACCAAATGAAAATTCGTTCGATCAGCACTTTCTACCACAGTCATAATAGGGGCCTTAGTTTTTAAAACCAAAAACTATTACAATGTCTTCAGCGTAATATTAAATAACACAAATCACTTATATTCAGAGACATAACTATTATAAGAGAAAATAATAAAAGTCAATCAATAATCATTATATTAAGATAAATAATTTTCGAGTCATCTATAACTATTATTCTAAGACTTATATTATAAAAGTCTTTTCATAGTAATTATAGAGAGAGAGTCTTCAAAGACTTTTATTTTAAGACTTATAGTAAACTAGTTTTTCATACAAATTATCATTGAGATAAATATTTTTAAGTGTTCAAAGACTTTTATTTTAAGACTTATATTATAAACGTCTTTTCATAATAATTATGAGGGCGAACAAATTTTTTGAGTCTTAAAAGACGGGACTTGTTCAGGAGCATTTCAGGATTAGTTGGGGGCCAATTCGGGCTATGTGGGGACCTAGTTGGGGAGTAGTTGAGGACCAGTAGGGGCTTGGTTTGTGACCCGTTCGGGACTATATACAAAATTTTTCCGCACTCATGATTATTATCAAAAGACTTATAATATATGTCGCAAAATAAGTCTTTGGAGACTTAAAAATATTTATCTCTCTGATAAATATAATAAAAAGAGTTATATTATATAAGTCTTAAATAATACTTATCGAAGACTTATAATTCTTACGAAAATTTAGATGGCTTTTTGAAAACTCCACCATGAAATAATTATTATTCTGGGTCTCTGCTTACATGATACTGATGTACAAAAATTTTCTTTAAAAATATTCATACTTTTAAAAAATAATTGTACTAACACATTTCCCAATACGACTGCGCAATTAATAAATTTACTATAACTCTAATTGATAAATCGCACAATCCTATCTTAAGCGCTTAACGCTAAAAATAAAATAAAAGCTTAATAAGTCGAGATCAACTATTTCTGCAACTGAAATTTCCAATTTCGAATTCAGCGAGAGTTGACATAAATGGTGGTTTTATACCCTGATACAAAAAAGAAGGTAGTTTCAATAAACAACTTTTTGATGGATTCTGAGATTATTGAAGCTTCATAATTTGATCGTGTTGCTAGTAGCGTTACCATATTGTTAATATTCGCTACTCGACTCACACACCTGCTATCTGAGAGCACTCTTCAACAATCCGACATTCGCAAGCAGTGGAACCACATTTCCCGATCATTAAGTACCGCCGCCGAAGAAGTAGTTGGATTTCAGCGAGCCCGAAAAAACAACTGGTACGATGAGGAATATCAAGAAGCCGCAAAGAAAAAAGACGCCGCCTATAGGGCCACGCTGCGATCTGGCGCAACGCGAGCCATGTGGCCGTTATAGGGAACTGAAGAAGGAAGCGAGACGTATTTGCCGCAATAAGAGAGAGGCCGAAATACTTGGGTGCGAAAAGCTTGAGATGCTGGCCGACAGGAAGAACGCCCGCAAATTCTACCAGAGGGTTAGGCGACTTACGGAAGGTTTCAAGACCGGGGCGAACTCCTGTAAGAACAACAATGGTGACCTAGTGACCAATGTCCAGAATGTGTTTAAATTGTGGAGGGAACACTTTTACAACCTACTGAATGGTAGCGGCGCTGAAAGTAGTGGAGAAGACGAACCCGAGTCCCCAGTCGATGATGATAGAGTAGCTGTCCCACCGCCTGACTATGACGAGGTACGAATAGCGATTACGCGGCTGAAAAACAACAAAGCTACTGGAGCTGACAGCCTGCCAGCTGAGCTATTCAAGTATGGCGGCGAGTAGTTGATAAGGTGCATGCATCAACTCTTGTGCAGAATATGGTCAGATGAACGCATGCCCGACGACTGGAATTTAAGTGTGCTCTGCCCAATCCACAAGAAAGGTGACCCCGCCATTCGCGCCAACTACCGCGGGATCAGCCTGCTAAGCATAGGTTACAAAGACTTATCGAGCGTATTGTGTGAAAGACTGAAGCCCACCGTCAATGATCTGATTGGGCCTTATTAGTGTGGCTTTAGACCTGGCAAATCCACCATAGACCAGGTATTCACAATACGTCAAATCTTGGAAAAGACCCGCGAGAAAAGGATCGACACAGCGACTTTAAAGCCGCTTTTGACAGTACTAAAAGGAGTTGCCTATATGCCGCTATGCCTGAATTTGGCATACCCTCAAAACTCAAACGGCTGTGTAAAATGAGGTCAGCTCCGTCAGAATTGGGAAAGACCTCTCCGAGCCGTTCCCCACAAAACGGGGTTTCAGACAGGGCGACTCCCTTTCATGTGACTTCTTTAATCTGATGCTGGAGAAGATAATAAGAGCAGCAGAACTGAACCGCTCAGGAACAATTTACTACAAGAGCGTGCAATTACTGGCTTATGCCGATGACATCGACATCATCGGCAACAAAAACCGCGAAGTCTGTTCTGCCTTTTGCAAGTTGTATAGGGAAGCAAAGCGAATGGATCCGGTGGTAAACGAGGACAAGACGAAGTATCTCCTGTCATCAAACAAACAGTCAGCACATTCACGCCTTGGTACCCACGTCACTGTTGACAGTTACAATTTCGAGAAAGTAGAGAATTTCGTTTACTTGGGAACTAGCATTAACACCGATAATAATGTCAGAAGCATGGACAATGACAACATCCGATGAGGCGGCTCTTGGAGTGTTTGAGAGAAAGATTTTGCGGAAGATTTCCGGGCCTTTATGCGTTGGCGACGGCGAGTACCGCAGACGATGGAACGCCGCTTCGAATTTTTTACAAATGAGCAATTGTCAAAAATCCCCTTTTTAATCAAAAAGTTGTTTATTGAAACTACCTTCCTTTTTCTATCGTGGGTGGCACACTTCTTGTGCTTCTTGCGTGCTTGGTTGTTTATCATATATATTTCTAGATTCGGCATTTTCTCTATTGTCAGTTTCCGAATTTAAAGTTTGGCGTTAAAAGCTTTGCGTCTTTGTTGTTGCATGTTTTGTATTTAAAAAATATAAGTGATAAACATGATAGTGATGAATATATTTAACATCACTTTAAAATTTGGAGCGATAAAAATAAAAATGATGGCATCAACACAAGTAAACTATTTTTCAAATACGCCACATGCAAATTCAAGATTGAGCCGAACAAGTGAGGAGTTTATGGAGTGCTTTTAAAAATATAACTCCTCACAGAGTGATAGTACTTTGATGGCTTTACGAGCTCTGTTTTTTGAAATTGCAAGTGTGTAGTCACATTATTTTTTATTTTAATACACAAGAAAATATTTTAGTTTTGCAACTCCGAGTTTAGTTTTGGAACTCTCCCGCTATGCAAATTTACATCGTTAGAGCTAATCTTCACACTTTTTGATGAGCAGCAGGGGCTCCAAGAAACAAGTAAAGTTTTGAAAGGGGCTTATTAGAAGAAAAAAAGTTTAGGAACCTCTGGTTTAGACACTTTTCATGAATTTGCCAAAAGAAAAACCTCTGGCAAAATCCTGTAACTTATTACTCCCTGGTTATAGTGCACGGGGCGAATCGTAACAAATCGCAGTCAATTCGTAAGGATCTATTGATTTTAGATGCTTCCGTTTTACGTTGCGTTTCTTCTTCTTATTTGGCGCTGTAACCGCCTAAGCGATTTTGGCCGAGTTCAACAAAGCACGCCAGTCATTTCTTTTCTGTGCCAACTGATGCAAATTGGAAATGCCAAGTGAAGCCAAGTCCGAGAGAGCTGCAAATTTTGCAAGTAAAAATTTTACTAGCAGGAATTTGCTGGAGTCAAAAAGTAAGGTTATGTTTCGAATTCAAATGTAAACAAACTGAAACATAATAAGTGAAATGAAAATATGGATGAAAAATTTAAATCTATTGTATATTTTTTTATTTTTATTATAATGAAAACTATTCCCAATTAAAAAGAAAATTGCGCGCCAAAACTTAACCGTCAGAAGCAGTGAAGTGGGTGCCAAGGCGCGAATGTGCTGACTGTTTGTTTGCTGACAGGAGATACTTCGTCTTGTCCTTGTTTACCACCAGACCCATTCGCTATGCTTGCTTATACAACTTGGAAAAGGCAGAACAGACGTTTACGTTGCGTTTACGTGCATTATAACCATTTGCATTCATTGCACATACAATAGATAATTAAGTGACAGTTCACACCGGTTCGTTACTTCCAATATAACCCAGGCATTATTGGGAAGAGTAGCTCTCTTACTCTCTCAAAAGTTTTCCCAGTGAGAGAATTTTCACGTGCCTGAACGACTTACTGTAATTTCTTCAGCTGCCATCTCTACCGGATAAAGTTTGAAAGTCGCATTTAATTTAATTTTCACTCTAGACTTTCTTATCTCTCTGTATCTCTTTTATCATGCATATGTACACATCACAGTTAATTTTGTAACTAACTTTTCACATTTCAGCTGTACGTCTGCAACGGATATTTAAGAGATCGGCGTTATTTAGCCTTGCTTTTGGCTCCTTTGGAATATCGTACAAGAGCCCTTGAATTCGTTGTAATTTTGTAAGTGACGGGCAAAACTCATTATTAATATTAAAGATGCAGTATTAATCAATATATGCAATATGATTTCATAGGGTAAAAATGTCAATTAATAAGAAGAGTGGCGTGTGGAAATACTTCACCGATGAGGAGGATAAGAGAGTGAAATGCAAGTTGTGCGGTCAGCAGTTGTCTGTGTCAAATAAATCCACTTGCAGTCTTATTCGTCATATGGACAGACGGCACCAATATCGGTACAACAGGAATTCTAGGCAGGAGCACCTTGAAGAAGAAGTACTTATTAACATCGAGGATAACAGCCGTGATCTCATCAAGCCTCTTCCAATGAAGAAGCAACGTCTAAGCAATCAACAGGTAATAAAAATTATTGTTCGAGAGTATCATCCCTTCAGTTTAGTAGAAGAAGTAAAACTTAAAAGGGTGTATCCCTTGAATGCCAATTATAAGCTTCTAACCATTAAAACCATTTTCGGGCATATGAGCGTACGTAAGAAATTCTCTGACAAAAAGGAATCAACTGCCCAAACCCACGGGAACGTAAAAACCCCCTTTTCCTGCCCGAAATGAAGCATCAAATCGCCCAAAATTAAAACAAAAAAAGATTTCAGCTGCAGTATTTTTTTAAACATACTTAAACATAAGTTTGTTTGATCGATCACAGAGTGGTGTCGTGTAGAAATGTTCATCAAAAATCAGTTCAGGTCAATAATAGAATTTCAAACAACGCCACCCTGTAACTTGGCGGAACATATAAAGGGTACTCATTTAAAAGCGCAAAACTCTTGCAAAGTGGGCAAACTGTGCAATTTTAAACCCTCGCAAATGAAATGTCAAAATTTGTATGGAAAGCCATTTGCACAAAAATGGAATCTTTGCGCGGCAATTTTGATGAGTACCCTTATAATTTTTAATTTATTTTCGGTTTTTCTTAATTACGAAAAAGCATCTGTGAAGTACAGAACGAAATCGTATTCAAACATAAAAATCTCAAAAAAATTAATTTGTTTAATATAAACAAAAGGTCGTTTGGTGCAAAATCATTTGTATTTGAGCTTTAAACAAACAGGACATAGTTAATTTCTTTTTTTTTTATTTATTAACACAATTAAATTTGTAAAACCAGACTTCAATTTCCAAGTGATGCACTTAAGTGGCAACAACAAAAGCCGCCTGAATTAACTCTCAAATTCTGAGCACGAAATGTGTTTTCTGCGATGCGTACTTCTGGACATTGTACCATTTTACCAGTCCAGATTGTGCGGGAATGCTTATTCAACTTTCAATTTGTTTTGACAACATTGAACAGCTGATGATTTGACACTTTACCAGATTTTGCCAGCAAAAATTATTCGAATAAAATCTTGCAATTCTGACAAAGAGAGGGCCGATTTTACTCCCCCATTTTCCCCCTACTTTGCCAGAGAGCCGAGTACGGGTGCGCTTTCTTGCAACTTCTCGCGAATCAGGAAAGGCAACTATTATTTGGAGATTTGCTAAATTATACGCAAATACACAGGCAAATAAACAAAAGTACTTGCAAAACTTGATATTTTTTCGCTACTCAAACAAAACACGTGGTTGGGTTTTCTTTAAATATTCGTATGTTTTTCGAGTAATTTTTTTGTTATTTTTTTTTTTTATATATGTATGTACATTAAACTGCATCACCAAAAAAAGTTGCGGTTTTTCCGCCGGGATTACAAAATTTATTATATTTTAAGACGTCCACCAAAATATTTCAGAAAAATATTAAGAGTTAAGCAAGCTGGACCGATTTGAAAATACCTCCAAAAATCAAGTTTTTTATGAATAAAAATAGTTTCTTAAAGAATTTTTTGAAAAAAGTCCCCTCAGGTATGTGCGATTCTGTCGGTGCGAATCCGTACCGACGAAAATTACAACAATGCAGACCACAGTTTTAAATTAACAGCCACACACTTACGCGATTTTGCTGCAACGATTTATTCGAACATTCACCGTTCTTCTTTTAGTCGTGCCAAAATCGTAGACTTCCGCGTTTCGAGAACGAAAAATGCCAATGACGGATTTTATAAGATTAAAACTAAAAAAAAACAAAATATGTTTGATGTAGTAAAGTTAAGTTTATTTTTGTTGAAAAATGCCACCAAACAAATTATGAGAAGTAGGCAACAATCGTCAATGGCAACAAATTGGCAACTTACCGGCTTATTGCCGTGGTGACAAATCGGCAACGTCATTTCTTTCATGTCAATTTCGGAATAATTAAGTTATCAAAAATTCCCAAACTTATAAATTTCGTGTCAAGAGTATTATTCAAAAATGTCTAATTTACTCCAGAGACAGGATTGAAAAAATAGGAAGTTTCTATCATGATGAGTTTCTATGTTACAATTTTGCATACAAAAAACAAATGAAGTATTAAAAAGAATCAAATTATTCCAAAAAACGACTCATTCAGGTAATAAGAAAACGACTCGCCTAGGAGAGTTGCCTTCGGCGGACGTTTTAGAGTGACTGGTGAAAAGAAATCGATACGATGGCGATATTACCGGTAGTAAATTTGTTTCCGAGGGCGACACGTTTTCTTATTGCCGGCAACAAAAATTGACTGGTGGGATATTTTTTGTTAGACTATAATTCAACAAATCCTCAATATTTGAATTTTTTAACTTGAATATTTAGAGAATTTGGGCGGATGCAGTTCTATAGCCCATACATTTTCGGTCTAATCAAGTGCAAGTTTCTAACGGCATTTTTAGCATTTGAGTTTCGTCGTGAAGGGAGTGCGGTAGCGAGCCATCCGGTTTCGGTCCGGAGGGCCGTGTTCTGGCATGTCTGTAGCTACGTTCTCTGCACCCTGCTAGTCCCCTGCGACCACACGGGCGCTGCAGAGTTTAGAACCGGCCGAACAATTTGGCCTTGTATGTTGCCAACAAGGTTTGTTTGTATTTGTCCCAGGTGCTGCCGGCTAGCGATGTGACAATTGCGATTGTATGCGCCAAGAAGGAAGGCAGAATATCGAAGGTAACTCCCAGAATGTTTGGCTTATTCACCGTCGGAATTGGTTCATCCCAGCTGTAGTCTGACCCCCTTCGTCCAGGTGAGGAAAAGGTTTGCCAAAGATTTCACAGTCGTGAAGGTTAGGCACCTTGGTTCCAGGAGAGAACCGTTTACTTTCGAGCACAAGTCATCAATTCCATTCCCAAACAGCATTATCGAGCAGTCGTCAGCATAGGAGACAACAGAGACTTATCTGGTTGTTGAGGCGTTTTACAGGCTCTTTAAGTGCTGGTTCGCACCTTCGCGTTGCGCGAGCTGGTAGCCGTGGGGGGAGCCGTTTGGCTTGAACAACAAGGTACCACAAAGCTTGTGGTGCGCTGTAACACCTAAGGCCTGAGCAGGTTCTTCGATTGCAAGAGTTGCACTTAACTGAAGCGGAGTTAGGATGGAGTCGGCAAATGCAGGATAAGTTTTGGTCCGGGTTGGACTCAATGCCCGCCCGGAGAAGAAGGATGCGGAGCAATTTGGCTGTGAGGTATTGCTGCACGGACGCCAAAAAAATGTATGGGATTTGCCAATTTAAACGGGATTATGTCGCCGAAACAATAGCCCTTCGTCGAGTAAAAGGCAAGCCATTCCGGTACGTAGAACCGGCTATCGTGGAAATATGGTTATGATTCTTGCTGTCAAATTTTTCACTAGCTCTGTTGGCTCGGCAATTTTTATTCTCTTTATGGTTGCCAAAAATCGACTTAGAACTTTGCAATCAATTGGCGCAGCCCTTAGAAATAAAAGATTTATGAAGACGGCCCGACACGTCCCAGTAAGAAGTTAAAGATTTTTGCACGAGATTTTTCTTCTGGCAATTCGTGAAGTGTCAAACCACGATGTACATATGCGCAAATGTGAAATACAACTGTAGCGTAGCAAACTTGTGTGTCTATACCTGTACATAGGGTGGTCCAAAATAGTCAAAAAAGTGTTCAATGTATTTTATATGGGAAAAAATACTTTATATATTTTATTGTTTTCGGTATACAACAATCCTAGGGGGTGAGAGCATAAAAATTCCGACTGTACTATTCCACACACATTTTTGGACCACCCTGATGCACATATATGCACAAACAGAACAGAGCGGTAAAAAGCACTAGCGAATGAAAGCTTACATCCGGGAAGCAAATTTAAATCCACTTTCGAATTATATTTGCCTATGCAGTTTTTAACTAAACGAATAAACTTAAAAAAATTGTAAAGGCTGACAATTTTGTTATTGATTACACTTCATTGTAGATATGTGCTTACCAAATCTTGTATTAATCATAAATTTCATACTTCTTTCAACTAGAACTTCGAAAAACAAAGTAACACTTCTGTGCGGAATCCACCACAGGATGAGCGGGATTTGGAGTACTCGGAAGATTCTACTCAAATACAAAAAGATTATACATCGCTAGTGATGTATCATGACGATGATTGCGCTATGGATAATGAACAAACTCTTACTAATGAAATTCTTGTGAAAAACAGGACGCAGCCTTTGCCTAAAAATGAGGCTACTAATTTGGAAAATTTTACGTCGGATCCTTTAATATCTGTGTCGCGTGTGAAGCCGTTTACTAACAAATCGCAAGGATCGGAGGCTAATATAAAATGGGAAGAAATATTTTCGCAATATATATTATGCGAGCTTTATAGATATGAGTACAACGACGCGCAGAGGTACATACATATATTTCTTTAAAACTACAGCCAAGGCACATTGAACAGGTAGTATCAGTAGATCAGCTGATTTGATTTTTTCCCCCAAATTATTTGCTCTCGAAAATGTCAAATATTTTTAATTTCTTCTCACAAAAATTCTAAATTGTTAAAATCTATTTGCATATGAAACCCTTGTCCATACAAAACAAGCAATTGAATAGCAGCTTTTGGAACGTTCGCCCAACTCAGCAGCTAAACCGCTGATTACTGGGTCTTGCAACTGGGTAAGAAAGATTATTATTATGATTCACAATTTTTATGATAGTTGATTCACAATTTTGAAGATAGTTGAGTTGTAAATTGGTATTGTTGGACACAACTCGACTCAGCTTTGAAAACATAATTCGTAACTAGTTTTCATTTGATTGATTGTGATTATTTTAATATCATTGAAATAATATATTATTATTAAAATACCAAAATTTTCATCGAATTTCCGGCTATTTCAATGGCTACAGTCAACTGAAAACAGTTGTGAACGGCAATAGCAATGAATAGTTGTCTCAGACACAACTCAACAAAGTTGACTAAGTTGAGTTGTGAACCATAATAAGCGCCTTTTTTCCGATCTCAATTTTTTTATTTTTATTTGTATTTCACATGGCTCGTTTTGAATTAGAAGAAAAAAAATCAAAACAATTTTTGACACTTTCGATACCAGAAGCAACAACAAAATACACGCAAATGTTGTTTTGCTCTAGTGCTACTACCTGTTTGATATGCCTTGGCTAAAACTAAAAACAATTGTCGAACTTTTTTTTTTTATCTGTATTTCTTTTTCGTTGAATATAGATTGAAAGCACAACTCACGCAAGTTTGCCTAAATTTTGAGCCACTTGAACAGGACGAATAATCAACTGTTTGCTTAATTTAATATATTCAGTTTTATAATTACTAATGTATATTAGAATAAGATAAAATATATATAAATACTTTTATTATTGCTATATGTATTTAAGTTCAGTTTAGAAAAAAATCTGTAAATTACAGTAGTTAAAGAGACGAAAATATCAAATCAGTTGCTCAATCAACACCACCTTGTATTGATGCGCCTTGATACTGTGCATATATATTTATATGCTGCCAAAATTTTACCTAGCCCCATGAGCTATGTAGGTTAACTTCTGTCGTTCGTATTCACCACGAGAAATTTAAAATTTTTAGTTTCATCAGTCAAAATTTACTATTTTTTTATCAATTGGCACATGGCGTTAGCGCAAACCAAGGCGCATCTAAACAAGGTGGTGTTACTTGAACAGCTGCTATGCTATTTTTGTCTCTACACTAGGACAGAAGAATGTCATCCAAGGCGAAATGGTGTAACTTCAGGATGTCTTTCGTTTTGACATTCTGATATACCAAAGGGCAATAACAAAATACACGGAACTTTTAATAAGCAATTGCTATCACCTTTATGAATGCGCCTTGAGCGCAAACCAACTATCCGACAAAGAACGTAAATCTATTACGTTCTTTTCATCCGACAAACGTGGTATATCCAACAAATTTCTAGGCAAGTACCACCACAACAAACCTGTAATATGTATTAAATGTGAAGAAAAACATATGAGAAATACTAAACAATTAACAAGAAATCAGCTAAAAACATTTTGTTTAATCCAAAAAACCCGTTAAGTTTCACAAGGTCAAAAATGACCTTAAGGACAAATTGGGTTCATAATTTAAGGGACTAATTAGGGGTAAGTTTGCAGAATAAAATTTTTTACAAATTATGACCGTGTGACGGTGCCCATATTGCTTTGCTTTGGACATAGCAGCATCGTTTCTTTACAGATAAATATCACTAATTATTACTAGTTTTGCTGGAAAGCGTTTCTTAAGTTATTTTTTGGCCTACCTGCTAGTTTCTCGTAAATTATTATTTTTTTACTTTTGAAACGTAAACAAGCGAGGTTACGCACAGTCATGGCGCAATAATAATAATAATTCCACCATGATGGACAGGTTCTTTAATTTGTTTCATTATTGTAGCTGCTACTAAATCCCGCTCGGCTCGGCTCATCCGTCAACGTCGTCGTCAGGGTCATCTGAAGGGAGGCAGAAGAAATGCGCAGCTTTCATTCGGTCCATAGGGACAGTGGCGTTAGCTGGGCGGGGTTTCTGCTAGTTGTCGTTTCTTAACTTTTTCTTTATTTCGCTTTCGGTGAGCGTAATTCTGTAATTTGTCGCATTTTTTCTTTTTCCTGATGGCTGCATTTTTTTATTCATTCTGAACGTTTGGAATCAACTTTTTTGTTTACTTATTCTTTAGAACGTTCCTTGTGATATGTTGACGTATATTTCAAACGCATTCTGTTTATTCCGGCAGTGAAATGGGATTATCTGGAATATGTAAAGAAACGCAGCCGATAAATATCTGTTAAAAAAGTCAAGAAACAAAGCTAGAGTTTTTAGCATCACGTTGCCAACTATTTTACGTGGATAAGTGAGTGGAGTTGCCAAAAGCCAGAAATTACCCAGAATTGGGAAAGTCAATCGCACACCCTCTTCAAAAGAAACACAACTCAAAATAATACGTTTGTCAGAAAATGCGAAAAACTATTTCTTAGCGCATGATAATCATATGGGCTAGGGCGACTTTACCCCAACAAATTAAACCAAAAATTTGCCCCCACTTTTGCTGAAGGATAGATAAAGGCTCTGTGTACATTTTTAGCGCCTAATCTCATAAATACAAAATTTTGAGTTGTGACTCTTTTAAAGACGGTGTGCGATATGCTGCCGCTGAACAGTGTTGCCAGAAAATTTTGGTTACAAATTTTTCTAGTGATGAAAAAATCTTGAAAAAAAACATAAAAAGCTTGCTGAAACCAGAAAAAAATAACTTTTTCTCTAGAAATATCTTAATTGAAGGTTTTATAACCTTAAAACTTAAATTTTATTTTATTTGTTATACAAAACGGCAACACATATTATTTAAAAAAAAAATACACAGTTCATAAATATATACAATTTTACTTGACTAGTTCACAAAACGTACCATATCCCATGAACCAAAAATACAAGATCACGCAAGAACGTGACGCTGTATTTGTAACTGGTTTTGAGAAAAAAATTTGCAACAGTGGGTTCGTGCAGATATGAGGTCGGTGTTATGCAGACAAACTTTTGTTTGCCAAATTAAATGGCGGCTGCTTAGTTTGCTCGGAGGTGGTTATGTCGAGTTTGGCACAGGGTTGCACGTTCATTTCAGATGTACATAACGCGCACAATTAATATATTTTTTATGATATCGTATAGGCAATTAACTGAGCCCTAATCTTTGAAGCTCTTACAGCATAAATTCAGTTCTTTGGCTTTCGGTATCACGGCAATTTTTGTGTATAGCAACAATTGTCTACAATTTTTTTATATGACAACACCGAATTAGCTGCAGTTTGACCAAACAAAATTAGTTTGTTGTGCGAGTCGCCAAACACGCTCTCTCCGAGTTTGCTGCTACAACAATTGCACGCAGTTTGCCAAACAAAATTTCTGCATAACACCGACCTTAGTGATAATTTATGATAATTATCTGTTAAGAAACAAAGCTATTATCTTGTAAAACTTTTTCTGATTATTTATGAAAAATATCATTTTGAAGATAAATGGAATTTCTGGCAACACTGCCGCTGAACCGTTTTGGGAAATTTTTCTCTTTCTTTTATCTTCTTTTCGCCTGAAAAAGCAACACTGTCATGCTGAAGAAGAAGAAGAGGAAGAAGGAGTTTCTTGTGGTCGTTGTCGTTGCTCGACGTACAGAAAAATCTAGCGAAAATTTATAAAATTGCAGTTAAATTGATCAAATTAAAACAAACAAATATAATACTAATAGAATTTATTCCTTAATTGACGTCGGAAAACGGTTAAGGTGTGTTAAAATTGTGGTAGGCAGTGTGTGAACCAATTGTGGAAAAAAATTCGCACAGCGGCGAATTGTAAAGAAGAAACGAACGGAAGAATAAAGGCAATGATCAAAGACGGCGTGAAAATTTTTCAAGAAAATTCGACTGAAAATTTGTTGAGGTTTTTGGGAAATATTTAGATAATATACTTAAAAAGGCCTTTAATTTTGTATGAAATTAGGTGCTCTAATCGTGGAATGTGCAGTACCGTACCGATTAGTAATTTTTTTTTGAGTACGAGTGCTGGGGCTCCGAGTGTCAGCGTTCGCTGCGACGTTGACGTTTGTTTCGACAGCCGTCAATACCGGCTGCGACGTTAGCTGCGACGCCTCGGTCGGATGAGGAAAAATTTTCTGTCTACTGTAGGAAAAGGAAAATCATATTTTGGTTATCAAAGCGAATTTTAAAAATATTTATGATTCGATGAAAGAAAATTATTTTAATTGGTTAAAAAGATTAGTCAGTGAAGTTTTTTTAAATACTATTCCACCAAATAACATTTAATTTAAATTTTAAAGAATTTAATTGTACTAATATTTATATACATATGTTTTTGTTATAAAATCTTCTGCAGGAGCGGCGAGCAACGGAAAGATTAAAAATAGTTAGAGAAGGATAAAAGCAGACGAAACTAAGAGCTGATAACCTAACTAAGTTTAAGTGGAGGAGGTATAGAGTGTGAAGCAGAAAATCGAAAGACTGAAGGAAGCTGATTTAAGCCAGGTGGAGGTGCGCTAATTAACAGCGCTGTACCACAATTGTAGAAGGATATTTTCAGGGAAGAGCCTACGCTTAGAACTTCTATTTGCCTAATTTTGGACTGTTTATTTCTACATAATTCAATCAAATTCATTCAACAACTTGCACTTGCCGCAATTTATAAAATTGCATCGTGTTAATTCTTGAAAGGCAGAGAATACGGAAACAAAATGGATGATTTAATGGTTGAAGTCAGGCTCGACAATGGCGCCTATTATAAGGTAAGATTTATTGAAAATAACTTGAATTCTTTTGTGATAAGCTTCAAATTTGCGCGCGAAGTATATCGCCGAAAAATCGGAACGAGTGGAGTGCGTGATTGCTACAGTGAATTGTTGCGAATGTCTAATTTTAATTGTTTTATTAATAAATCAGTGCTGATCGCCTCAACAATGCTAGCTGTGTCCGAGAATGGCTAAAAGTAAATAGTAGTGATATAGCGACGAGTGGTGAATTGTGGCAACGACCATCATCGTGGCGGCATTTCATGTCGTTCATCGATGATGGGAGTTTGCTGCTTCTAACGTGATTATGTTTGGATATGATCGATATAAATTTCGGAATATTGCGTTACCATTATGGGGTATAATTTACCACAACAATAGGGGTTTATATCTGTTCAGGCTATGCCGATTTATGCGTGAGGACCGTTTTAAGCATACACATCTTTAGTAACCGTACTTTTTCAATTTCATTAATACAAAAGCAGCATATACACTCATCAGGCATGTACACCACCCCAATAAATTCAGAGCGTTGGAGGGACAAGTGCTATTTGCATTTCTTTCATTAAGCCCAATATGAGGAGCATGCATAAGTTTCTACTCATTCAGCGGTACGCACGCCTTCCCTTTCATTATTCCTTGCTATTTTCCACTTTCCCACACATACATTTTCGAGTTATTCGCTTCATCTATGCTCGCTGTGGTCATCGCCGTAGTAAATTGTCATTTCTGTCATTCTACTCCACACATTTGCCATACTAGTTCTTGCGCACTCGCTTTGGCTATCTGCTTCGCCGCCTGTTTGCGGCGCGTCTGGGGCTACTTGTACTGCTGACAGTGGCGCTGGCGTGGAAGAACACATTGGGTATGTGGATGTTGTTGGTCGTTTCAGTCTTGCGTATAATGTTTTCTTTCATCAATTGTTCCTCGTTTATTTTCCTCCTCTCCGAGTATCTCTTTGGATTTATCATTGTATCTGTTTTAGCCACAGCCAGTACGAATCTAAAAATGTGCCGGCTGCGAATACCGCCGCCACGACGACTTTACCAATTTCAGCTGCTGCTGCGTCGGAGCTTATTTTTTACTCACTCTGCTTCTTCCTCCTTCCAGTGTTTATATTTGTGCGATTGTTGTGACTTTTGCTTGATGATGCGATGCCAATGAGAATGAAGTGCTTTACTGTTTTTGTTGCTGTTTTGTGTTGTATACAGCGCTAAAGCTCGAAAATATATTCTGGCGAAGAGTAGAAATTGTACACAAATTAACTTATAAAATGGGGGTTCCACCAATTACAATAGCTAGTTTACATTTCTTTATTTTTCTTATCAGTTATGCTTGTAGCTCAATCTGTTAGGGAGTAAGGTATGTTTATATGTACAATGCAACTTTGGCAAAAAGTACCGAATAGTTATTTGTGTTATTCAGCATTTTTATATTACAAATCAACTGATGTGTCAGTGATCAGATGTGTGGGAAATTGCTGCTGTGGTTTTGTGTTTCATCCAAAAAGCAGTATGTATATACTTACTATAAAAATCGAAGGTTTTTTTTTGCAGAAGACCATTGTGACAGCGTCTTATTGTTATCTTAAAAAATAACAACTGTGTTTTTAATGCAACAACAATATAATTTTTCGAGCATAATTTGTGTTTTGCTTCTTTTGGCTTTAGCTTTTGTAAAATAGAGTATGTTGCGTTATTTGGTAAAATGTTATGCCGCGATAAATGCGAGGTTTTCAGTGCTTTTTTTTCTGACATGAACTATTCAATTTCACGAATTGGCGCTCTAACCACCCAAGCGATTTTTGCCTGCTTCAAGCGCAAAAAGTATAGAATAAGTAAACACATACACCTTTTCAGGGTTAAGCAAGAATTGACAATCAGGCTTATCATTTTATATATTTTTTGCCAAAGTTTGTAGAACTTTTTTTTTCCTTGCACAATGGTAAATTTTTGTCCACTCTAGTAGGTTGTGTTAATTTTTTTATTTAAAATCCTATTAAAAAATTCTGAGTTTGTGTCTACTCGACTAGACATAGTACTTGCCCAATAAATAATAGTGCTTTCTGCAGCCCTTGCTCGCGACTATACCTTTGTGCACAAGTGCGCTCGTATGCAAAGTTACGTATTTGGTGTTCTTTTCTTAATTTTAAACAGCATTATATCCTGAAAACCTCATAGTTTAGAATGCTCCTTAGGCTGGTGAGTATGGCTTTAGTGCTGGTATTTGGGATTCTTTTCTTAATTTTAAACAGCATTGGGCCGTATGAATAAAAATTAGTAATTGCTTTTTCTTCAAATTTCAGACCTTTTACTCAATTTATTCAAATAAAATTGAAGTAAAAGGTATGAAATTTCAAGCAAAAGCAATTTCTTAGTTTTTATTCATACGGCCCATTATATCCTGAAAACCTCATAGTTTAGAATGCTCTTTAGGCTGGTGAGTATGGCTTTAGTGCTGGTCCATTTGAAAAACGACTCCAAAACTGTTGAGAGGATGCTGAGGATTAACAAAGCTCGAGTGACGAGTTTGACGAGTTTCCACTCAATGCCAAAATGGAATTGAAAGTACTTTATGCTCTATTCTGTTTAAAAAAAATCTCTAATCTGTTTTTTAATATTTTTTTTTTTAACAAAAATCGAAATTGGTTTAAGACATTTTTATACCCGGGCGCACTTGTGCACAAGGGTATATTAGTATATTAACTTTGTTCACATAACGGTTGTTTGTAACAGCCAAAACAAATCGAGATAGATAAAGACAAATTTATACATAAACGCTCAGAATGAAAAGAGAAATCGATTAAGCCATGTCTGTCTGTCCGTCCGTCCGTATACGCGATAACTCCAGTAAAAATAGAGATATCTCAACGAAATTCGGTAATTTTTTTTTCTAACGGTGGTCGAATGGCATGCAAAGGCAAACCTCCGAGTGTACTTCTGGCATGAAAAAGCTTCTCATAAAAAGTATTTTCTGTTCGGAGGCGGCGTAAAATTGTAAATCCATCCATTTGTATAACAACATCAAGACGCACGTATTTAATCGGAGGAGAAGCTCGGCCAAACACTTGAAAAAAGTGTAAACGCCAAAATATTATATTATAAGCAAACTGCAACTATAAACTACACGTTCCCCTATCCTTTAAAAATACAGAGTACATACAAGCAGTGCACGGACTACGAAAAAATTAATAGTGGTAGATTTCACTTACAAAAAATTGTAAAAGTTGGTAGACTTTTTAAAAGAAATAATATTAGATAGTTTTTACTCATATAGGATAAAATATGGCGAATTCAAAAAATGTGTAAAATTTGTTAGTGTAATTTTTGTTTTTTTATACCTGCTATCACCTTATATGAATTCGCCTTGGGGTGAATGGTATTTTTATATAAAACAACACAAAATCCATTTCACGTCAATAAAATATTAAACACAACCTATACCTATATAGGTGCAATCCCGTATTCCTCGGACTCGGACTAGTAAAACTGTCAAAAAATAAAAATTCGCTCAGAGCGAGAGAGTAACATTGAAAAGTACGGGATCGCTTTCTAGTAAAAAATGGTAACTTCTGTCAACTTCAACATAACCTCCAAATTTTGGTTGTAAATTTTTGCTTAATTTGTATGTAAACACACTCAGCTCAGACATGTAAATAACCAAAAATACTTTCAAATTCATTAGAATCCACTTAAACAAGTAATTAAATACTTTTCAACATGAATTAGCAGAGTGCACTTTTCTTTTGTTTACAATTTGGTTGCCAAACACACTACAGCTGATCATTTGACACATTTACCAGAATTTACCAGCAAAAAATTCTCGGACTAAAACTGGTAACTTCTGACAGAGAGAGAACCGTATTTACTCTCAATAGTCAGAGAACCGAGTACGGGATCGATTTCCAGTAAAATCTGACTGATTCTGACTAGTCCGGACTCGTACGGGATCGCAACTAGTTTCTAATCAAAATGAAATGTCAGTTTGATTTCTCAATGTGCCGTACTTTCCTGGATTTTTGTGTATGCGAACAGCAAAACCTGAAAGTTTTTGATAGTTATCAAAAACTATCAATACGCGAATGCACCTTATGTGTGAGACAATTTTTTAAAGTCATCGATAACTATTATTTTAAGACTTATATAATAAAAGTATTTTCATAATAATTATCAGCGAGACTAATATTTTTAAGTCTTCTAAGACTTTATTTTGAGACTTATATTATAAAAGTCTGAAAAGAAAATAATTTTTCGGCTTGGTTCCGCACTAACCCGCGGTATCCAAAAGAGAGTAGCCAGCGTTCCCTACGCCAAAAATCAGGGTAATAGAGATCGAAAACTTTAACTTATTTTTTGGATTGCCTTTCATTTTAATGCCCGCAACAACAGACTTTCTCGGAGCAGAAATTGACAAAGCCAAAAGTTTTAAGCCTCCTCCGAACGGCAAATGGTTGTAATGGAAAGCTTTTTTCGTGGCAGAAATACATTCGGAGGTTTACCTTTACTTACCTCCTTGGGGCGACCCTTATTTGAAAAAAAAAACGTTTTTGGACGTTGCTCGGACCCGGTATCGAACCTTGGACCTACCGAGTGGTAGTGCGCACCTCGTAACAACTCGCCCATGGCGCTATAGCTTTTTTAATTCTCATTATATCAAGAGTTTTATCTAACATATGCTTGACAAAAGTTGGAAAAATCAAACAAATGCCACTGTTTATGTTTTTCTTGATAGCTGAAATTAGCTATCTCATTGCTATTTTTTCTCAGCTTCTGCTCCATTAAGAAATGCTTACTAGCTGAATCTAGAGCCTGTTATTTTTTTGCGTTCCTCACGCTCCTGGCCCTTTTGATACGTTGGAAAGAGTATTTATTTTACGGTCAAATTACACTTGCCACCCTTGGCCCGTGTTGTATGTAAAGTTAGTAACAAAAAAACTACTTTCTACTGAGTTGACGTTGCAAACTCTCCATAAATAACTATCAGCCTCATTGCGTAAGTCGTAAATTAGGCTGAATTGTACGACTCGACAACATTAGCATTGTCTACTGTCGTGCTGAAATAAGTAAACGACGAAAATTGTCGAAAACTATGCAGTGCTGCCAAGTTTTTCCGTTTTAATACACTAGTCGAGTGGAAATTTTAGGCAATGGCGCTAAATTTTCGATACGATTCGACTCTCGAAAAACGACTTGCATTCGGCACGACTCTCGCAATGAGGCTGTATGTCTACATGATGTCGAAGGCGAAGAGTTGTTAATTTTAAGCGTTACTCGATCTAAACGAATCAATGTATGAATGTATTTGTTTGACCATATTCAAAAGGAACTAGATTTGCATGATTTGTTTACACTCTTTTAAGTGCTATATGCTCCAAAAATTATTATAAAATTTCCACTAGTTTATACTCAATCATCTAAGCAAGTTGCTCTCTTTTAAGGGCATGGTGACAGCTGTATGCGACGATGGCGTTTTCGTGGAGGTTGATGGGTAAGTTTCCAAGAAAACTTAAATATTGCAATATATGTATAAACATTTATGTGCTAATTTTTTTTTATGTTCTCCGTTGACCTGCATTGTTTTGTAGAGTTTTATCTTTTTTTAGTAAAAAAGCAAATGTGCAAAAGGCCCCATTTGAAATTGGTTTAAATAAGTTTTTTTTTTTCAGATACCACTTAATACCAAAATTAAAAGTCATACACTAATAAATACGAGTTTTATTTATTTCCATAGTTTGCATCTTTTGTCGAATTTCAAGTTAGTTAAATGGGACCTTTAATGCTATTTATAATACATTAGGGGTAAACTCGATCCGTGGCATGGTGCATAGATAGCATAAGCATTTATTTAAATGGCATGATTGTATAATTTTGTTGTTGTTTCATGTCTTCAAACAGTATGCACCGGATCGAGAATACTCCTATTATCTACCGCTAATCACAGAATATGTGCCCAAAAGTGCAACAGTCTTAAGTACTCTTATTGTAGATGAACATATCTATTTATATGTATGTACATACGATATGTACGTTCGTATAAGTATCACTAGAATGCATTGAAACGTCACAGAATGTGTAGTACGGACAAGAATAGAATTTTTTTACTATAACTAAAAATAGGCGCGGTCCTTCTCAATTGTCTTGTATCGTTTATTGATTACCACAAGTTTTGGAAGTGAAAAGCGCACCGCGCACGGTGCTCAAGGCGATGTTGTTATTTCTGCAGTAAAATTTCCTTTTAATAGCCTACGCCATGCGTAATATGTCGAACTGGTAATTGTCACAGAATTGCATTAAAAATATGTACATACTTTTATATATCCCGTCCGCGATGTGGCTATTGACGCATTCAAGTCTCATGTCACTTGACCCATTTTGAAAATATGCATTTATATACATACATATGTGCATATGGGAATTCTCTATTTTTTCAAAATTTTCATTAAATATTTCCGGATGAAAATTTGTGTCGCTGCCATTACGGTCAGGGGCCGTCGCCACCCCCTTCAACCCCGATGCAAGCCAGCATTTTGTTTGCGCATTCTGTGCTGTTTGCTCAGAGCGTAGCAGCATGCGATCATTTCTGTTGGCATACTGCCAAGAGTCGCCAAATCAGCATACATATCTTCCACTTCTTGTACACAATGTTTTTTCTATCAATTTACTGTTCGCGATGTTGTTCTCTGTTGTTTTTTTTTTTTTTTTTTTGGTAGCACATTGTTGGTCACCACATTCCCCTGTACTATCTCTGCTTACGCGCGCCGTTCTTTCAGCCTTTCAACTGACTGTCTTCGCGAAGTGGCAGCTATCAATGCAGATTAATTTCGGAACTATACAAAACACCTGTCCAAAATTTATAATTCATTTGGACGTGAATAGCTCAGACAAGTTGAAGGAGGATCGCACACACTTGGTGCTGGTGGCGGTGGTAGTGGTTATTTATTAAAATGTCATCACAGCAGACTGTGTGCGCTTGCAGGCACAGAAGTGCTTTTGATTCATTTTTCTTTTATTGCTATTTAAAATCACCCTTCTAATTGCCTGAGACTATCACTTAACGCTTTAGTTTATGTATTTTTATTTTTAAGACATTTCTAATTCTCTTTTTTATTTCTTCTATGCTTTCGTCACCCTCGGGTTCATCATTGGGCGTTGAATATACAGCTGCCCCGAGGTACAAAAATATCCTTTCTCAAATGTGCGTTTCCCGCCAGAAGAGAACGAGAATCCGCCCACTTTTGAGGAAGGTATGGAAGTGGAAGTGTTCACCCGTTCGACGGAGCGTGAATCATGTGGCTGGTGGATTGCTTCCATAAAAATGATTAAGGCTGACATCTGCGCTGTTGCGTATATTGGCTTCGAAACACCGTACACCGAAATCTGTGAATTGAAGCGTTTACGCGTCAAAAATCAAAATCCGCCATTGACGTCCAAGTCGTTCTATCAGTTCTCGATACCCGTACCAGAGGAATTGCGACAGGAGTGAGTTATTGTTGCTGTTGTTATCGTTCATTATCATTAACGTTTTTTTCAAATAATTAAACATAATTGGTTTTTTGGGTATTTTCTCTTCTATCGAATGATGTTTTTGCAGAGCGCAAAAGGATGGTATTCACAAGGAATTTCAGCGTACAATAGGTGCTGGCGTGTGTGTTTACAATCGTGACTTGGATAGTCTGATTGTGATTTCCAAATGGGAATACACTCAGAAACGTGCTAGCATGCTGAAGGATATGCATTTTCGCAATTTGGCACAGAAGGTTTGCAACTGTATGAAATATTTAATTGAAATAATAAAATCGATATTTTACAGGTAATGCTGCTAAAACGAACTGAGGAAGCTGCGCGCCAATTGGAATCCACTAAACTGCTTAATCGTGGGTGAGTTTATAGAACTTTTATGTGACATATATTATGTGAATATGTATAAAATCTGGATACGTTGTTTTTAATATTGAAGCAGTAATATCAGGTGGAGGTGACAAGCAATTGGCGTGTTTTTACCTCGCTTTTATTAGCTTGCGATGTAATAATGTAATAATGATGCGCCTAAAAGATGCAGCAATTTCCGCTTAATTTTTCGCTTAAATTTCCATTCACAGGTCTATTCCATGAACGAAAGACACAAGATCACGCGCGAACGAAAGAAAGAAAAAAGTGATTTTCTATGATTTTTTCTCTACGCCATCTTTGTTGTAAGAAGTAAACAACGAAGAGAACGAAGAAAACCGCGTAATTGTTGAAAGCATGAATAATCATTTTTATTATACAAATTCTTCTATAAATCATGTCGTTGTGCTGAATTAATCTTTACCTTTGTGTACATACGTTGTCACAAGCGAAAATGCAGAAAATTCCAGTAAAAAGCCACAACCAAATTGTAAGCAACGAACAGATGTAAACAAACGGCTAGTGTCAAAATCGTCCAACTGTTTTCCTAAATGCGATTATAACGGGCTACTGGCTTGATGGCGTGATCTTGTAGTTTTGGTACATGGATCTATTTCGTACGTTACCGAAGATTTTGTGACCGGAAAATTTTATTACCAAAAATTTTACCACTTGTCACCGCGATTCTAGGTACGGTCAGTTAAATATTCAGCAATTCAGCTATGATGATTTGTGGAAATTCCTGCATTGCATATCTCACGGGGCAATATTTTGTTACTAGCTTATGAGATGGTAACCAAATTTACCTTTAATTACCGGTTTCAAAATTTATGTTACCAGCGAATGAAAATTCCAAAGATTGATATCACGTGTTATTCTATTCGTTATACATACGGTGACCATCCGTCCTGTATTATACGGGACAGTCCTCTTTTTTGACCGATTGTCTTAGTAATTTATTTATTTAAACGGGGCGCCAAATGTTCTGTATTTTTTTTATGTCCTGTATTTGTCCGGTATTCGGTGTTTCGACGCCTTAACAGCTCATTAAAATGTCATACCTATGAACGAGTTTTAAGTTATGTTGGTATATGATCGTAATTTTCTCCATAAACAGTTAATATCGTCGCTCGAATAAAGAAACAGTGTAAATGCCACATACACTATTATTCGATAATTGCACCATTGGATAGACAATCCTTTAATCTATTATAAAAATCTTTACTTTTCTTAAATATCTCTTTGGCTCACTAATTTATTCCCGAAAAACGAAATTGTATTTGTATGGTTTGTAATGGTTTATAAAAACTTCCAATTCGTTTTTCTCAAAACTATACTTTTCATGTTACACTATTTCACTATTCCAGCGACGATATTTTCTAATGTGAGTGCCTGCGATTCGCATCGAAGGAATACATACAGTGACGAAAATAGAAATTAGGACCCGACATTTTAATAAGTTTCGGCTTTTTTTCCCAAATTTATTTAATGTTTATTATAGCTGCATTTTTTTTGTAAGCGAGCAACTCTTTTGGAAGCTGGCAACCCTGTTGGTAGCTGGCAAGAAAAATGTGATTAGTTTAATGGGATTTAGATACAAAAACCAATTTAAATGAGTAATTTTGCCAGGTATTTGCGTAATATATATACTTGTTTAAAATATAAGTCTCGTATGTAAGGAAACAAAAATTTCAATCTCCATTTTCCCATTAACAATTCACAATAGAGTAGTTTTTCACTTAACAACATTACCCTTCAGGTCGCGTATTTTTTAACCGACCTGGCTGAACTCTGATGAATAGCTAGTTTGTGTTGTTAGATACTTTGCGTCTATTACGTAATTTAAGCGAGTGTTTTTTTTTTGTAGCTCAGTTGCAAAAGAATGCACCTTATTCATTTTATGAAAGTAAAGCTCTTCTCAAATTTCAAACTTTTTAATTAGAATCTTTAGAAAAATTTGGTTTGCTGTTTTGTGACTCATTAAAATTGAGTATAACAAAATGCGAGTAGAAAGTGCTGCTAATTTTTTTTTTTTTTTAAATGGCCGAATATAATTACTTTGTATGAAAAAATTGCGTAACACCATCAACAAAAAAAAAAAAGCCAAAAATTAAGGGTAAGTCTTAGCGACTTAAAATTACACTTTATTATACTGGAATTTAACGATTTTTTTTTAAATTAAAATTTTTATTAAAATTTCGCGGTGTAAAAACTCGAGAAAATTATCCTATGAATTTGTGAATATACTAAAAGGATACTGTTTCAAGGCTAATACATCTAGGATCATTGAAAAAGGATCTAAGATATGTAAGTGGTTGTGAACAGAATTTCAAAAATTATTTTTGTCCCGTATTCGGCTCTCATAAATAATGCTCACCGTAGTTATTCATAATAGTTTTAAAATCAATTGAATTTAAGACTAAAAAGATTAAAATAAACTTATACACCTCTATTGCGTGTGTCGACTAATAATAATAATAGATTTGGCGCTTACACATATGTTAGTGTTTGGCCGAGCTTCTCCACCGACTTGTGGCGTGCGCCTTGATTTTGTCACACAAAGCGGAGGGACCTACAGTTTTACGCCGACTACGAACGGCGATGGTATTTTTATGAGAAGCTGTTTTTTATGGCAGAAATACACTCGGAGGCTTTCCATTGCCTGCCGAGGGACGACCGCTGTTAAGAAAAAACCTTTTTTCTATATTTTTTTGCGATGCTGCTTTGACCAGCGCTTGAAGCCAGGTGCTGATGAGTGGAAGCGCGCACTGCTTACCACTACACGACAACGGTCGACTAGTAGTAGATAAACGACTGTTAGGGCCGTTTTCACCATCTCTGGTTAACACTAATCTCCAGTTAAATATCGTTACCGACGTTACTGATTCCATACATATAACGTCGGTAACGATATTTAACTGGAGATAAGTGTTAACCAGAGATGGTGAAAGTGGGCCTTAGTCGATTATCGATTATCCGTGGTATTTTCAAAGTTGCTTTCTCGCTCAATAAGTGAGTGTGAATAGTTTATAGTCGCTAATCCTTCTACAAACAAACACGGCTAATAATTTCTTTCTAAACAATAATAGCTAATAGTAGTATTAAATTGGTTGTAGAATTGTAAAGAATTATAGTTAAAAAAGTTCTTTAAGAATGGAAATTTAAAGCAATTCCCATTATTACTGTCGTCAGGTATGTAACTTGAGAATGGAAATCGCTGCATTTTTTAGAAGCGTCAATATTACATATTACATACCAAGCTAATAAAAGTGAGGTAAAAAAGGGTTGTGCACCGCCACCCTGTTATCTATTGTGCCCTCTACTCTTCACAATTTTTTCTCTAAATCTGAATCCCTCCGAAAGTTCTGAACCGCTTTTCGGCGGTAGGGAGTTAATATGTTCATGTTGCTGCTACATTAAGCCTAGATTTCTCTCATGTCTACTGCATACTCCCATCACACTCAATGTGACTGTGCAGTGATTTGTCATAAGACGTCTTGCAGAACCGCCATTTTGTTTATATAAGATGTGGCGTAGCAAATAGGAGACTAAAAGTGTGTTAAAGTCTAAAGTAATCCTAAATTTTTCGACCGAAACCTTTAAAAGTAAATATTTTCTCCGCATTTTTCTTCCTTTCTGCAACCCCACTGGCGTTGAGTTGCTATCCATAATCGACACTAAATTTCTCCTGCATATTTTTTGTCTCTTACATTTCCTAAACTTGTACTTTCCTTCTTCTATTTATAGTTATACCGATGAATTTCAAGTACGCGAAGATTTGATGGGCTTGGCCATAGGTTCACACGGTGCCAATATACAAGCTGCTCGCCTCTTGGAGGGTGTTACAAATATCGAATTAGAAGAGAAGTCGTGCACCTTCAAAATTACCGGTGAATCAGAGGATGCTGTGCAGCGGGCACGCTCTATGTTGGAGTATGCCGAGGAATTCTTCCAGGTTCCTAGAGAGTTGGTGGGCAAGGTAATTGGCAAAAATGGTCGAATCATACAGGAAATCGTGGATAAAAGTGGAGTATTTCGAATTAAGGTATGCGTTATATATACATATGAATGATTTTTTCGTTTAATTGTTCAATATTTGAAAATTGCATGCGTTGGGATTCGCTCAGATCGCAGGCGATGACGAACAGGATCAGAATATACCACGTGAGCATGGTCATGTACCGTTTGTGTTCATCGGCACCGTTGAAAGTATTTCGAACGCCAAAGTGTTGCTGGAATATCACTTAGGGCACTTGAAGGTAAGTTTGCATATTTGAAGCAAATCAATTGAATTTCCTACTAAAAAATTTGCAATGATTTTAATTTAGGAGGTGGAGCTGCTGCGTCAGGAAAAATTGGAGATCGATCAACAACTGCGAGCAATACAAGAGTCCACAATGGGATCTATGCAAAATTTCCCCGTCACACGGCGATCGGAAAGAGGGTACAGCAGTGACATTGAGTCGGTGCGTTCGGGTCGTGGAGGACCGCGCGGGCGTGGTAGAGGACGAGGTGGTGGTAATGGTGGCAATCAGCGTTATCATCAAGGTAGTAAAGCTTCAGCACATACATATGTAGACATAATAATATAGAGGGAACTTTTTAAATTTTGTAGGTCGTCGGGACGATGATGACTATAATTCCCGCGGTGATCATCGTTACAACGATCGCAGCGCTGGCGGTGGTGGCGGCGGCTATCGTGGCGGAAATGATCGACGAGGCGGTGGTGGTGGTAAGCAAAATGGTAAAATATCAAGTGCCCAACTCAAACACTAGTGTTTGAATTCACATTCTCGATATTTCATTTTTATTTATTGTGGCTCGTGACATTTTTGTCTGGATAATTTAGGACGCAGAGAACAAAATGGCAGGGATCTAGGCAGAGATCATTACCACAATCATAATGCGGATATGCGTGAGGACACGCGTGAATTGAGTAGCGTTGAAAGAGGTGTGTATACTGAAATGTGTTTTGGAAGTGAAACTTCTTTAGCGGCGCTAGTGAATTAAAAGATCGGCACGAACACTTTTAAACCTCTTTATGTATGGGAAGTGCGTCTCTTCTCCTTCTTTTCCTGCCGCCTAATATAATAACTTAATATAAACCTACCATTTCAATCAAGAATACGTGAAATTTTGCAGTATGAAATCAAAGCAAATAAAAGAGTTTCACTTCCGAAGTGTGGCCTAGATGCACTCATGTTATTTTTATATTAATTATTTAGTAGAATAACATGTAATTTGTTTATTTTGTTGTAGCTGAAAGCAATTCGTCATACGAAGGCAGTTCAAGAAGACGCAGAAGGCAAAAGAACAATAACGCTGCTCATAACAGTGAGTATGATGTCGCCAAATTAAACTTTACATACATAAAGGGGATTCGAAGTAAATTGTGTGCCAAAAATTGTAGAAGTTTCTAGATGAAATGTAAATTATTAATTAAAAGAGTTTTCTTCATAATAAGGATGAAAAAGTGTAATATACTTATACATATTATGTATGTATATCATTTTCGAAATTCCGTTAAAAGTTGTAACATTTAGATAGTTTATCAATTAAGGCACACCTCCTTTTGCTTCCAATTGGCATATCCTATTTGCACCTTCGTAGGCAATATTCGTACGATAATCCTTGTTATTCTTATTGCAGCGAATGGTGGGGTTACCAATAACAAATCCCAACAAAACAAACAGCCACAAAACGCAGATAACAACAAAATCAACAGTGGAGGTGGTGGCGGAGGAGCTGGAAGCTCGTCGGAGCGATCCAAACAACAGAGCGTGAACAGCAAAGATGGCAGCAATGTGGCAATTAAGGGTAACCTTGAGAAACCACAACAGCAACAGCAGCAGCAATTACAACAGCAGCAGCAGCAGCAGCAGCAGCAGTTACCACCGCAGCAACAGCCGCTGCAACAACAACAGCAGCAGCCACAACAGTCGCAGCAGCAACAGCAGCAGCCGCATCATCAACAACAGCATCAGCAGTCGAAACCGAGACGCAACAACAAAAACAATAGAAACAATCATGCGGACTCGCTGCAGCCACAGGATAACAACAAGCGGGAGACACTTGTTAATGGAACGTCCTAATGGGCAGTAAAAATGTCTGTGCATACAATAGCCTCAGCCGCGACTGCAACAACAACAGCGACATCAGAATATGTAGTAAAAGCAACAACAACAAACGATGAGGAATTAGGATGCAGCATAACAACTTCGAAGCATTAAATGAATTGAATGAGTTGAAAAAACTAAAACACAAAATAATTAAAAAATAAAATTATTAAAATAAAAACAATAAACAAAACACATTAAAAACAACAAAAAAAAGAAAACAAAAAAGAATACAGCAAGTTGAGAGATTTTTTTAAAAAAATAAAAAAATACATATGAAAAAAAAAAATAATCACATAAAAGAAAACTGAAAATTAAATATATAGAAAATAGTATACTAACTCGATGCAAACGAATTATACACACATACACCCGTAAACATAAACACATAATAATAATCATTTGAGATAAAGCATGAATGCGCGAGCCTGTCACTTTAAAATAGAATGCAAAAAATTTAAAAGCAAAAATCACAGTTTGTACACGGAAGTGCGCACGCAAGTCCAAGGAATGTTAGTAATTTATGTGGAGGCAATAACAGTAACTAACTTAAATACAACTTCAACTTTTACATTTTCTTAATATTATCTTCTATTGCAACAATAGTTACACCAACAATTTTTTTTATATAAAAAATGTGAGAATAATAAGTGCGGTGCGTGCTAACTGTGAGATTTAAAAAATTTAACAACTTCACAGCCAGGCTAATAATTCAGTCATTCACTCCTTATCATCTGTTCATTTTTCACTGTGCCGCCGCATCATCCTCTTTCATCAATTTTGCTTTCGAATATAAGATTTATTTCGCTCGTCCCTCCATTTCTATTTCCACATCTCATTCGTGACTAATCCTTGCCCAAATTTTGCTTACTTACCACTGTAGCGTGTATAATTCGTTGTACAAATAGAAACAAAAATGCAAATATCTTTATTACTTCAATAGTATTTTTTTTAAATTCGATTACCAAAATTTATTATTCGTTTAATTATACTTTCGAACTGTAGTTGTCCGGTTGCAAAATACACGAACAAATGATCCATAGCGCGATTTAAACGTAACAGGAAGCCCTAAAGCTGATACTGATACACTCGCACGCGCATTTGCGAAAATAAAAAACAAAAATCATACCCACCTTTTTTCAACATGCAATCCATATGCGTGCAACTGCGTAAAGGAAACAAAAGAAATAGCAATGTAATAAAAAAAAAACCAAAACATTTGCCAATTTGTTTATGCCAATTTGAGTGAATGAAGAAAGAGAAAAGCAACAATCGCCATCAGAAACACCAGCAAAGCTAACAACTACATGAACTTTATTTAATACTTTGTAATAATAACATTTATTATTTCAACTTTTTTCCACAACCAGTGCGTCGTATACTAACTTAATATTTAATTAAATACTCTTAAATTATTTAAAAGGAATAAAAGAAAAAAAATTATAAAAAGCCAAGGCATATATATTACTACTATTACTACTGCTTTCGTATGTACAAGTATGGGTTACAAGAGTGCAGCAGCATGCAATATTCAGTGCAGGGAAGTTGCGAAATTGCGAAAAATCCCGAACACACACACATTCATGCATTCGTACGTTATTCCTTGTGTGCAAAAAAAAAAAGAAAAAAAGTAACTAAAATAATAATTGGAAATTTCCACGAGTATTTAGCTACATATGTAAATTTACTTCTTGAAGTAGTATGGAAATAAGTAATCGCAAAGCGCAAACGCAGGGTGAAAAGTTAAAAATATAAAAATTAAAAAATAAAAAGAATGCAACCAAGTAATGCAAAAATTTAAAAAAATGATGAGAATGTCAGTTATTTGTAAGTAAAAGAGTGTAATACGAAAGAAAATAATAGAAAACAAAGTATATACTATACATATAAAAAAATTAAAAAACCGTAAAATCGAGTGAAAAATTTTGGAGAAAAAAAAAACAGAAATACTAAAATAAATATATTTGTCAATTTACGTTTTTCAAAACCGTAAATTAAATTACGTTTCTTAATTACTTGACTAATTTCACTTAAAGAAATCCTTGTAAGCCAGTGATGGAAAAGTAGGTACAATTGTAAAATTTTCAGCCCTTTTTTGAACGCGAACGTACTTGTCCTATAAATATTTACTCTCTGTTAGTCCTCATCCACGGCACTGTGTCAAATAAATCGACGGCCGCTACAACAACAACTACAGAGGACGAAGGGTAGCATCTGTTGACAAAAAGTATTGCGTTTATGCTGGCTCTTACTTACGTAAAAATAATCCTTTGGAACTTCCTATGCTAACGATCTCAATATACGGGAACCTTTGTTTTTTTTTGCAGTTACGTATACTATGGTTTCCTTTTCCCAAAATAAAACAGCTGCGCAGACGAGCTAAAGCCAAAAATATCTTGTTGTCTGCAGAGACCAGCAGCATCCTTAAGATATTCTGCCTTATCATGAGTTTCATTTTCCCTGTACGGGTTCACTTTTCACTATTGGTTTCCATATATTTACTAGGGCGAATGAAAAAATTTCGGGTGAATTTTTTTCCGGGCAAAAGTCAGGATCGTCACTTGTATTAGCTGCGGGCGCTACAATTGGTATTTAATGGGTGGTGACAATCTCTTGCAGCTTTTTACGTATTACACAAAAACAGGAACTGACGAAAAGGTCGAGTACTCAAATTCGCTTTCCGACTAAATACCTGATGCTACTGGGGAGCCACTACATGGAAAATAGGAGATTTAGTTTCGGATTACAGTCCTGGGCTCGAATCGTCACATACGATATCGTACTACTCGTCACGTAAAAACACATTTTTCGGATTATAACATACGTTTCCCATTCACCTTCTACTGCCTGACGTACTACGTAATTTTCTTTCGTATCGTTTTCAATCTGTGAACGGATGTTACGATTCGAGCCCTGATATGATGGGTTTAGATTTCGATTAGTATTTGCATTAGTGTGCATCTGTGGTACTGTTTCCATCGTTAATATAACATTTATTATAACTTCTGCCGAAATATTTCGAAAAAAACCTCTAAAAATCGAGTTTTTTTTTATAAATAAAAATGGTTTTTAAAAATATTTTCTCTAAGAAATCACCTCAGATGATAGAAGAGTTTAAGCTGCATGAAAATGTTAAACATTTTATCAACGGAATCGAAGTAATGCGGTTTTGAAGGTATTTTCAAATCGGTCTACATAGAATATTTTGGCCAAAGTCTTAACATATAATACATTTTATAACTCCGATGGAAAAACCTAACCTTTTTTGATGATGCACCCTTATATACATATATCTTTTTCCATCTCGGAGCTATTAAAGAAGTCGCACGAAAATTAGTCGCTTTGTCTAAAATATGGTTTGGTCTCGTAAAGGCCGAATAAATTCTAGCCAATTCGGTCCGTATTGAAAACTTATCCTCAAAGTAATTCTGCATGGTATTGGGTATCCAAAAATAGGTTGGCTACGAAGGAGCAAGTTAGCTTCGTACTTCCGAAAAGATTTGAAGGACTTTCAAAACATTTACTTATAAAAGCTTGTATACAATTTTTTCATACATTTTTCTGCTTTTAGGTACAACCTTTTCCTCAAATTAGGCAAAATTTGAGAATTTCAATTTCCATCCCTGTTATTTGCAAAGTATCAAATTGTGGCACGGATAGTTTGGAATGTCACATTGAGGTCACCAGTTGTGCACTGCTGTAGGAGATTTTGTATTGATGAGGTTTAAAAAAGACCTAACCAACTTTTTTTTTAACCCTAAAACTCGAATTTCCTACAATCCACTTTTGAAGCGCTTTTAATACTCTGTCGGCTTGTTTTGAAATACAGTGCACGCTCGATGAAGTGAACTAATGTAAACCCGATATGCCAAACTAAAACAAGAAATATCCATCAGGGCTATCAGGGAAAATGCTATCACTGAATCCCAATAGCCACGAACGTAGCGTATACTTTGAATACGCAGTGTTCGCATTTTCGTAAATTTCACGAAAAATCGGACTACGATGGATTCTGTGATTGTCCACCCCATATTTGATTTCAATTATGCACCTTAAAAAGACTATTTACATTTAGGGATGAAACGATACCATGCAGGTATCGATACTTTTACTTGGAAGTAGTATCGAAAAAAGTATCGGTTCGGTAATCATTGTGTATTCCGTATTAGGTTAAATTAATTTTTTTAAATCACAAGTTAATCATCCTCTGGGAATTCTTGACCCCGAATAATAAAATTGAATAATGTGTGAACCGAAAATAAATAAAACTCTGTTTACACAGATACATATGCATTGGAAAAGACTACAAGTTAATCTTATCTAAGAAAACATTTTTTAATAAAATATTTCAGCGAATAAAAGTCTTCGTTTGTTGTAATTCCCAAGTACATATAGAAGTTTTTCCAAATGTTTGCCAGTCCACCGATTTCTTGGCGTGATTATTGTTGCTCCTGCTTTCGAAAACAACCGTTCGCTAGAAACAGATGTTGCAGCTATATGTGAATATGATTCTGCTTGTTTATACAACAAAGGCAAATCAGTTTTCAGCTCCTCACATTCTTCTAATGGATTCGATTTCAGTGAGGATATTGGACTGTATAAAAAAAAGAAACGTATTTTTTATTTTGAAAAAAAATTAGAGATTGCGCTAGTCGGTTGTTCATAAAAAGCTGACGTTTAAAACTTTTTTTCGTGACATGTGACATTTTTAGCTGTACTATAATATTGTTTTTACATGTAATTATTCAGGTATTGGGGAATATTCACTTTCGCAAACAGACTGCTATATTAAACCGTTGATATTGCACGTTTTAGTCATTGCAGTGGGTTCAAACTTGTTGCCAGTTGATTTCTGGGGTCGCTGGTTACGCATCTGAGGTCAGTTTTTCAAAATTCAAATGGCGGATCCAAAATGGCGATCAATTTGAAAAAACAAATGGCTGGATTGGTTCGAAACTCGGAAGTCGCGAATTTTTGGGGTCGTTGATTACGAATTTGAGGTCAATTTTGAAAATTCAAAATGGCGGATCCAATTTGGCTATCAAATTTTTAAAAAATTATTAAAATTAAAACGTTGATACTGAACGTTTTACGCATTGTCTTGGTTTGAAACTTGTTACCAGTGGGTTTCTGTGTACGAATCTGATGTCAGCAGAA